TACACTCCATGGAAAAGGGCTCCTGGTCAAAATGCCAAGAGCCAAGAACAAAGGATTGAGTAAGTTTTATAGAGGGATCTTGGAGTCTTAGTGGACAACCAGCTAAATAGGAGCCAGCCGTGTGCAGCAGCAGCCAAAAAAGCCAATGCAATCCTAAGTTGCATTAACAGAGGGATACAATCAAGATCAAGGGAGGGACTAATACCACTCTATAAAGCCTTAGTAAGACCACACCTAGAGTCCTGCATCCAGTTTTGGTCACCACACTATAAAAAAGAGGTTGAGACTCTAGAAAAAGTGCAGAGAAGAGCAACCTGGATGATTAGGGGACTGGAGACTAAAACATATCAAGAACGATTGCAGGAACTGGGCCTGGCTAGTCTAGGGAAGAGAAGGACCAGGGGAGACAGGATAGCAGTCTTCCAATATTTGAGGGGCCGCCACAGGGAGGAGGGAAGGGGTCAAGCTATTTTCTAAAGCACCTGAAGGCCAGACAAGGAATAATGGATGGAAATCGAACAAGGAGAGATTCAACCTGGAAATAAGGAGAAACTTTCTGACCGTGAGAACAATCAACCCATGGAGCAGAAGTTGCCTTCGGAAGTTGTGGGAGCGCCATCACTGGAGGCTTTCAAGAAGAGACTGGACTGCCATCTGTCAGAAATGATGTAGGGTCTCCCGCTTCGGCAGGGGTTTGGACTAGATGACCTACAAGGTCCCTTCCAACTCTGATTATCTGTTATCTGTTCCATTTTCACTAAAGGAGAAGGTGGGAGAAAGCGAGATAATAAGAAATACCATCTAATAAACATTTTAGTAATAATTCTGCAATTCCTTCTGTTGGTCTCTAGCTGTCCCTAGTCCCAAGTCTTGGCTAATGAATGCCCTAGGAGTGATCTAGTACACATTTGATTTGCTGCCCTCTCGATTCCTAACTTTTAGCTGAGGTCTGCAAGTTGTCTAACTCGTGTTATTTTTATCAGCTTTCTAACTAGCCAGGATTGTTACAAGATTTACACAGGAATATTTCCTGTGGATAAGGATTCCTGCCAGACAGAGCCCACAATTACAGGCTTCCTGATTTACTTTCAAGTGTGTGCATGGCCTGGCTTTATTTTAGCAGACGGTCCCTCCCTCCCTTCCAACTGTGTTATTCTGTTACTCTGAATGACTTCCCTTCAGAAGCTGGGTGCTCCATCCCTGGAGGCTTTCAAGAAGAGTCCGTAGAGATTCTCAGCCATCCAGATTATCATGGTTGACCCAAAAGTGCTTTTTTTCAAGAAGCAACTGGACTTGTTTTTTCTTCTCTTGAAGACATTTCGCTTCTCATCCAAGACGTTTCTTCAGCTCTGGGTGGATGGTGGGGAACGGAAGGATTTATATTCCTTGCAGACAGCTGAGCCGGTCATTTGCATCCTTTTGGAGGGTTGTTGAGGCCACCTGGAGGTTTATCTGTGTCCCCAGGTTGTGTGCTGTTTCAGGTTTTTCTTTGAAGACATTTCGCTTCTCATCCAAGAAGCTTCTTCAGCTCTGACTGGATGGTGGGGAACGGAAGGGTTTATGCTCCTTGCAGACAGCTGAGCTGGTCATTTGCATCCTTTTGGAGGGTCGTTGAGGCCACTTGAAGGTTTATCGGTGTCCTCAGGGTCACCTGAGTAGTGCAAATGGTTCCTGTAGCCTGCAATTTTGCCTCTGGAAATCCTACTGGATTTCCAATGGATGGTGTGCGAGGAGGAATGGATTTTCAGAGGATTTGCAGACTACAGCAACCTGGAGCACCACTCAGGTGACCCCGAGGACACAGATAAACCTCCAGGTGGCCTCAACGACCCTGTAAAAGGATGCAAACGACCAGCCGTCTGCAAGGAAATAAATCCTTCCGCTCCCCCACCATCCAGTCAGAGCTAAAGAAGCTTCTTGGATGAGAAGCGAAACATTTTCCAAAACAAGGAAGTCCCGTTTCCTCCTGAAAAAGAAATAAAAATCACCTTTGGGACTGTTTAAGAAGAAATTGGACAATCATTTGTTTGGAATGGTACAGGGTTTCATGCTTCAGCAGGGGGTTGGATTCTACCAGTTTGGACCGGTTCGGGCGAACTGGATGTTAAATTTGTATCTGGTTCGCCGAACCGGTATTTCAACCGACCGGCTCGCCCCGCCGAGCCTGCCCCACAGCTCCCAGGAGTCTCCACATGGCCCATTTTCAATGCAGGTAAGTTCAGGGTCTGCGCGGAGAGGGGGGAAAAATGGGCCTTCCGGAAGTGCGGAATCGGGCCTGTTTCCTGCTTCCGGAAGGCCTCTGGAGTCCAGGGGAGGCCGATTTCGCCCTCCCACAGGTCTGAGGGAAGCCTCTGGACTCTGGGAAAGGCGAAAAACGGCCCTAACCAGTAGTACCAGTAGGCCAGGCCCACCATGGCCACGTCCACCCAGGAACCGGGCAGCGAACCGGTTGCTGGGATTTTGGAATCCCACGCCCGGGTTGGGCTAGAAGACCTCCAAGGTCCCTTCCGACTCCATTATTCTATTATACTAAATAAATGGTTGGGAGGACTGGCAAACGGTTTAAAAGACAAGCGGAGGAGGAAAAACAGCTGTATCTGTTTCTCTCTCTCCCCCGCCTCTGTTATATACAGCCTCTTTCCATCAACCTTTTTAAATAAATAAACAGAAGAATATTTATTGAAGTTGCAAAGGACAAAGCTCCTGGAATGTGGAAAGACAAATAGCAGATCAACGGGCGGTGATTTACCAAAAAAAAAAAAAAAAATCCTGCAAAGAAGAGATTTAACCTTCTAGGTTTGCCAGCCAGCTAGGAAAGCCTGGGTTTGCCCTGGGTAGATAAACAAGATATTTCTGGGTAGATAAACCAGATATTTCTGGGCTCCAGTTCAAAAAGGAATTGCTGCCAATTTGGTCCGGTGGCATTTCTCTTAAAGGGACAGCGCCCTGGAGGTTGGCAGAGATGCCAGCTTTAATTCAAGCAGAAGAATTTGTCTCCTGCTTTTGGAGGGGGTGGGGTTGGACTAGATGACCTACAAGGTCCCTGTTAATCCATTAATCTTAATCCATTTTTTGTTTCTCTTTAGAAACCAGTTCTGGAAAATGAAAAAAAAAAAAACACTTCCAAACTCTCAATTTAGGTTTGCATGAACAGAGGGATTTGAAGATAAGTGTCGCGTTTGGCTTAATCTGTTGACTGTTTTTTTTTAATACAGGTTGTCCTTGACTTACAACAGTTCGTTTAGTGACGGCTCAAACCACACAGAAAAAAAGGGAGTTAAGGGCCGCCTTTCCCACTTAACGGCCATCGCGGCATCTGTTCCAAATGCAAAACACAAGCAAAGGAGAGGAGTTTCGGCTTCAGTTTCAGTTTCACAGCACCAAGCAGCTTTAGTACAGAACAGTTGAGCTAAGCCACGCCCAGGCTCCTTGCTGTCTCCTCCTTGCTCACACAGCAAATACTGTTTCAGTTTCCCAACAGCTTTCAACTCACACACTGACAGGACACTAGCCAGATGAATACCAGAGGCAGAATTTCCCCGCCCCCCCTTATTTTCCTCCCCAAAAACTAAGACCGACCACATAGTTTTGTAGTGACACACAGATATGGAGCTAGTAATAAATAGAGGGAGGTGGCTTGTGATATTTAGATAGGACAACATTTGTAATCTGTGAATCTTGGTGTGTTTTACTGCACCGAAAAAAGATGGATATTGCTTCCCCCCCCCTCTCCCGGCCTTTTTTTTCTCCTTTTGCACCTTCTTTATTTCTTCTTAACTTTATTTATTTATATCCCACCTTTATTATTTGTAGAAGTAATTTAAGGTGGAGAACATGTCTGATACCCCTCCATCCTTCTCTCTTCCCCACAACAACCCTGTGAAGTAGGCTGGGCTGAGAGAATGTGGCTGACCCAAAGATCACTGAAAAGCCTTTATCTCTCTCCCTCACCCTCCCTCCCTTTAGTTTGTTCTTTCTCTCTGTCTCTCTGTCCCTCCTTCCCATTCTCTCTCTCTTTCTCTCCCTCCCTTTCACTCATTCTCTTTTTCTGTCTTTCTCTCTCCTCCCTTTCTCTTGCTCATTTTCTCTCTCCCCCCTCCCTTTCCCTCTCTCTTTCTCTCTCTCTCTCCCTCCCTTTCTCTTGCTCTTTCTCTCTCCCTCCCTTCCCTTTCTCTCTCTCTCCCTCCCTTTCTCTTGCTCTTTCTCTCCCCCTCCCTTTCTCTCTCTATTTCTCTCTCTCTCCCTCCTTCCCATTCTCTCTCTTTCTCTCCCTCCCTCCTTTTCACTGGCTCTTTCTCTCTCTCTCTCCTTCCCATTCTCTGACTCTTTTCCTCTTTCTCTCTCTCCCTCCCATTCTCTCTCTCTTTCTCTCTCTCTCTCTGTCCCTCCTTCCATTCTCTCTCTCTCTCTCTCCCTCCCT